TCAGCCTTAAACGGCACCCAGCAATCCATAATCAGAATCAAGTCCCCAATGGAGGTTCAAAGATATTTTGAAGAAAAGTTCCCGCAACGAATTAAAACTAAATTTAGACCCAGGATTGCCCTCTGATGGTCATCTCTTAGAAATGAAATCCCTTTGAAAACCAATGAATTTGCAAGTTTTTTCTATCAGAACTTCCCCAAAAGGCTTATCCTTGTTCTGATCGCTAGCATGTACACTAGATTTTTCTCCACAGAAGATCGTCTTCAAATATATTCATTTAAATAAAGTTGTAGGTAAATTAATGTAGACTTTGAAGCTACTTCTAGAACTAGGGGTGCCTGGCTGGCTCAGTTGATGGAGCACGTGACTCTTGATCTCAGGGTTGAGAGTTCAAGCCCCACACTGGGCCTAGAGCTTACTTAAAAAATAAATTAGGGGTGCCTGGGTGGCTCAGTCGGTTGTGTGTCCAACTTCGGCTCAGGTCAGTATCTCATGGTTTGTGAGTTTGAGTCCTGTGTCAGGCTCTGTGCTGACAGCTCAGAGCCTGAAGCCTGCTTCAAATTCTATGTGTGTGTCTCTCTCTCTCTGCCTCTCTCCTGCTTGTGCTCTGTCTCTCAAAAATGAGTAAATGTTGGGGTGCCTGGGTGGCTCAGTCGGTTAAGCGTCCGACTTCGGCTCAGGTCATGATCTCACGGTCCGTGAGTTCGAGTCCCGCATCGGGCTCTGTGCTGACAGCTTGGAGCCTGGAGCCTGTTTCAGATTCTGTGTCTCCCTCTCTCTTTGACCCTCCCCCGTTCATGCTCTGTCTCTCTCTGTCTCAAAAATAAATAAACGTTAAAAAAAATTAAAAAAAATGAATAAATTAAAAAAAATTTATTTTTAAATAAAGTTTTTTTTTTTTTTAATAAAACTACTTCCGTAACTAGATTAAGCAGTCTGAAAGTTTTTAAAATGACATTTTCCTTGGAATGTCTCTCCTTGTCCCCAACGCTGAAAATCAAAAAGGAAAATAAAGCCTCTTGTATCTTAATCAAAGATATAGAGATACCTTGTCTTCCAGGAGTCATGGCGAAGGTTTAAGGGCTGGTTCTTAACCTAAAGGATAATATCACCATAGGCCATTCCTGCTTTGCTGGTATTCATCAATTTCTTCATTCTTGGGGTGATTTGTTGAAAAAAAAGAAAAGTCTCCCAAATCAAAAGTTAACATTTTATCCCAAATCTATACCCCATCTTCTATCAAAACATGAATTCACAATGGATGGACTTACAATCCCAACTAAAAAAACCTCACAAAAAATGTACCCTGGAGCCACATTGGGTCTGGCACACATCTGTCACTAATTTTAGAAATCTGAATTTTTATGGGTGAAATAAATGCTAGCACCTCCTTTTCATTTTCTGTAAGCTTTAGTCTCATTATCTACAAAATGAAAATAACATCTACTTGGTTGGGATGTTGGGAAAGCCAAATTAGTACACAAAAAGCACTTAGCATAATTTTTGATAACAGAAGGCATTAAAAAAGAGAGATGTTATCAATTACCTCCCCAGTCAAAACATGCCAATTATTGAAGGAAGCATTTTATCTCCACTCACGGGCATGAAGAGTAATTTTTACCATGGTTTCTGAGACATCACTTCAAAAATTGTTTCATCGTGTTCACCACAGGCATTAGAGTCCTTGCTGGTGGTGTTTTTATTGGTGAAATGGGTCTTGCTATGACAAAACGTTGAGAATAGTCTAGTGAGGAGAATGATAAGCAACAAAGGAAACGTCTCCTCTTCTAAGTTCTGGGTATTTCACAACAAACATGGTGCCTACAGACTAAAGCGAGGGAAGTTAAAACTCAAAGGACTAGAAACATAGTGGATTGTTAGGTCTATTACACCCTCTAGTGGCCAAAAAGAAGATTGTTCTTTTAAAAATCTTGGTTTGGTCAAGATAGCAACTGGATGCGTATGTATCACCTTTGAGTTTAAAAAATAACCAGCTTGCCTTTATGCGCTTTTTACCTTTGCATTTACTCTATGCTGAATGAAAATACTAAGCACTAGAGGACAAGGCACAGGCAGCACACCTCTCATCCTAAATCAATTCTCAAATGTAACTAGAGTTAATCGTCTTTGTTGCTTTATGGAAGGGAATTTTGAAATGTGTACCTTTCTAAAGCAGCAATTTTTCACCACAGGGTTATTTACAAGCCAAGGTAATAATTAAATATGCCCAAGACTATGAATCTATTCTTCTCTGCCCAAACCCTTCATTTTTATAATGGGTAATTATAGTAAAAACTTCAATTAACCAGAACCCTCAATTAACATGATTTCCCTTCTTGCATTCTATTTTTAGGACAAAGTGGAAAAAAAATCACAAGAAGTCGTTCATGTGAAGGACTGGGTTTGAAAATCTTCTAGGATGAATTATACTAAGTAGGAAAAAACCCACATTCACACTGTGATAACCAATATATAGGAGACCCATCTATCTATAGATCATCAAGAGCTGGAAGGGAATAGCTTTATTTTATTTTTAACGTTAATGTGCTGGAATTATAACCTATTTTCTGTTTTTTTTTTTTTTTTTTTTTTTTTTTTTTTTTTTTTTTTTTTTTTTTTTTTTTTTTTTTTTTTTTACTGTCACATTGTTGCATAAATAAAAGGCAAAGAGAAGGGTAATGTATAAACTCAGCATATGTTCTGCAACATTTTCTATTCTATGTCCACGAATCTGAACAGGAGAACTGAGACAGAATCAGACCTAAGTCCTTCAAAGGTCTTTAAATCCCAGAGACACAGTTAAGGTCACCTTACAGTATTGAGACAAAATATAGGTCACTTGGGGAACATTTCTTCTACCATGAGAGCTGACATAAGAAGCATTTTTAGATAGTGAATTTTAAACTAATTTGAAAATAAATTTACCAGGCATCACTTATTCAGAAGCAACAGTCCTACTCAAAATCTCACCATAGTAAAAAAAAAAAATTCCACATTCCACAAAGGAATTCAGGCTAAGCAACCACCCCTGAATTGAAAGGTCATGATGCCAAATCCATCTATTTAAAATACTGTTTATTTGTGATTTAACATTAATTAGCATTACATCTAAGAGCAATATCAGATAACATTTATACATTTTCCACAGGACACAGAGGTTCATTGGCTCATTCTTTATGCCAAAGCAAGTAAATAGAGGCATTAGCAAAAGGTGCAAATAGTTCACTGTTGCGTTTAAAAAATATTTATGCACGTTGCATTCATTTAAGATATATATATATTTAAAAAGTTATGGAAAAGCATAGTTCACAGGTTACTGTTTCTACATACGTTGTAATACAACATAAATGATGTAGAACATAAAAAAAAAATCCTCAAATACAGAAGTAAGCAACTGAAAGTTTCTGCTAAGAGATTAAAACACCGATTCCAGTAGTTAGTGAGATCCAGAATGAAATTTCCAGGCTCCGTTTCAGCTTTGCATCATCGTACACATACGGCCAAACAGAACCAGCTGCTCCAGAACGCACTGTCATGTGTAATGTGATTTTGACACGCCAACTCATCCTCCAGAAACACTTTGGATTATTTTCACCCACTGACCATTTCGGATCATCGATTTTACATTGATTTGTGACATCACTTCGGTGAAGGGGAGAAAACTATATTAAGTCTAGGTTTAAATTTGTATTTACATTAGAAAGAAAGTTAACTGAAATAAGGTGAGAAAATTTTGTAAAAATCAAGAAGTGGTAGGTTTTCTCGTTGGAGGATCAGACCCACTGATTTCTTCTAGTGCTGCTTCTAAAGATACAGAAGTTAAAAGGAAACCAAGAAACACGATGATTTTGGCAGAGAAGCAGAATTTTAGAAATCTGGGACATGTTCCAAATAAACCTATGCTTCAAATCCTATCGTGACTGTGGGTCTTCATCAAACTAGAATTCTTGGCATGACACCGCTTTTGTTCCCTTCATTTTTCACTTTCTCTCTTCCTTTTCATTTGTTTCCCTCATGAGACCATCTTCATTCATTAGCAATACTAAGAGAAAAATACATTATAAGGTTCAAATGTGAATCTAGTTATACCTTGAAATGCTTTAATCTCCTTTAGATACCAAGTGCCTGGATTCTTGAATTAGATTTAAGCATACTTAGTACGAAGCAGCTTCAAATATGCTCTACTGTTATATGATTGGCTAATATGCTTATGATGCTTTTATACTGAATGGTATACAAACATCTCAACATACAAAAATCGTTTTTGCCAGAGTTAAACTAAATAACCCATGTACGTGTACAAAATCCCCTTTGTTGAAAAATAAGGGGCTTTCTCAACTAATAAAAAAGGAAGTTTTCAAAAATTATAGTTTACTAAAATGATTTTTTTTTTTGGCAAAGAAAGTTACTTCAGGTGAGGAAGTTTTATACTATGAATAAAATTCCAGATGAATCTTTTCTTAAATTTTTTTTTAAAAAAATTCTGTGCCAGTGTATACTAATGCTATAGATTCTTAGAAGCTTTTAAAGCGTTCTGTTAATGCCCACTGAAACAATGGGAACCCAAAAGGTACAGTCAATAATCGCGGTAAAAAATTATAATCTGATTACCCAGTGAAGCAGGTGTTGAGAAATAAAAATTCTCTCGCTTGTGCACTGGTATTTCGTTTCCAACAGATATTATGGAGAAGGCCTGAAGTAATTCAGACAGATATCTGTTTGTGGTGAATTATAGTAATACTTCATGAGGGCAGAGCTAACTAAAACTAGCAATTATTCAAAAATTCAAAACCTTTTTTGGAGATACAAAATGAGAGATGAATTTGAAGTTCTTTTCATAATATGTTTTTCTTTTAGTAAAATCCCTTTCCAGTTCTTAAAGTCCAGTTTGCTACATACCCCCAGTCTTCTCTACCACTGCATATTAATTATCAACTTAAGTGTGGTATTTAAATGTGCAATGTCACATTGTAATAATAATAATTATAAAAAGAGTTAAGTTAGGCTTCAACTTTCTCCTTTTTTTTGTTCTTTTTCAGAAAAGAAGGAGTACGGAATTTCTTCTTTTTCTTGGATGGCGATTTTGAAGGGGAGCCTTCAGGTGACAGGACTTCTTCAATTTTTTCTGGAGACTTAATGGTAATCTCGATGTTCTCTATGGTCGTGCTTGTGGTTAATCTACTCACTCGCTTCGCAAGCTCATCTTCAACATCATGCGTATCATCCTTGCCATTCACCACCATGACGGGCACCTCCATGGAGATGAAGCTCTTGGAAAATAGCTCATGGTTTTCTACAAAAGGGGAGGGTTGGGTTGTTGTTGTTTTTTTTGGTTATTTTACATAGTTAACATCTTGGCTTTATTTTACAAAACTGAACTGATTTATGTAGCAACGTACTAAGGCATTACTTAAGTTTCAGTAAAGACAAATCATTACCTTAACATGCTATGGATCTATTAGCATGAAGCTAGATTTTTCTTAAATAGTATAAAGGGGAAGGGGTCAAAGTTGTTAGACCAAAGCATGAAGGCTAGATAAGTCTGGTTTGATGATCTGACAGTTGCATTGTAAATCAAGTCAGTATAAACAAGGAAGACAACATGTATTTTTCTTGAATTTGGCAATCAAAACTGGAAAGATTTCATGCTCCTGATTGGAATATGTAGGACAAACCACTTTTAATTTCACAAATTCTTAAGAATTACCAGTTGCCAAAATCCAGAATAAGGTAAGTCAACATAAACACTGAACAACACCAGCACACCACTTGGTGAAAAAATATATAAAATTATTGGGAGCTTTAGGTAAAATCCATGGCAAACTCATTGCAATCGGGTGTTCAATTTCCTTACGTGAAGACAAACGACAGAGGACAAACTCTTAAGACTAACTCAGTGAACGCTATGGGAAGTTACAGTGAATACCTTCTAATTTTTCAGGGATATTTTGCGGTGACTGAGTTTGAGACTGAATTTGTGAAACAGATGAAGCGTCATCTGAGAGTAATTCCTGCTCAGCATCTGTTGGACGAGAGTTTAGTTAAAAGCCATGCAAAACAAAGAAGCATAAGGTTTCGGGAAGGTTAGTGCATACGTCAAACGCCTGCAGACACATGATAAACTCTTCAGCAGTGAGCTAAGTATACTAACGGCTACCCCATGGATCGATAACTGCGCATTAAGAGGAGGTGAATGTGCGAACACTTCTGACTCTGCTAACAGTAACTTTACATACGTGCTTAGTAAGGAAGCATGGCTACGGGCAGCCCAGGCAAATAATACGTAAGCATTTAGCTTTTGCTAGAGTGTTAGAAAACCAAAATATATTGAGCAGCCGGGTGAAAAGAATTAGGACACCTCACCAATGATGCTGCGTTCATGAGGCAGAATGCCTCCAAATTTTCAAACAATATCCAATTAGTGATTTCTGTCAGAGCAGTATTAGTGAGCTAATTCAGAAAGCCATAATGAATGTGGAAGAAACTATTTATAAAAAAAAAAAAAAAAAAAA